AAAATCTATGATTTAATTGTTTCTTGCATAGCAAGAAATACGTGTAGTCTAATTAAGCATTCATGCATGAGAAAAGATTTTCACCTTGAGGTCATCGTTAGGACGGTAACATGCAAAATCAATCAGATAAATGGACCGAGGCCGTGACATGAAGTAGACAGAAACCGTGAACACAAAGACAGCGAAAAAGGAGAGCACCGTGGCAAGATCATAACGAGCATCTTCCCATAGCTTTTTCCACAGCTCTTCCCTACTAAGGCTTCCAACCTCCGCACTGAACACGAGCACCAGAACTGGTATGGTAGCCAAGTATATGCCATGACTGATCAGATAATGGTACCCTAACTTCACATACTTCAAGTTCACTGACTGAAGGAAATCCGGGAGCCGCCTACGAACCCTGACCGAGAAGGTTAAGGAGCCGGCATTAGGCCCGGAGGACTCAATCCCACGGTTGACAATCTCAGTTGACAAGAGATCTTGCTCGCTTCTAGCCATGTTAAGCCTGAAATTAATTCCTTGGTTAATCAAAATGGTGAAGAACTGGGTTACATATAAACGTATTGATGCGAGATGAAAGTGGTGGGTGGAGTAGAGTTAATGCTCACACCAACTTAGGCTGGTGTGTAGTTGAAAGGTTTTCAACTGCCTTTAATTCTTTCATTCAATGAAACCCGGTCCAATTCAAAGTCCAAACGGGTTTTTCTTTCGTTTATCATCAGCTAAATTATAATACATAAAAGTTGTCGTGTTGATGACTTCACTCTTTGGAACGTACGTTTCCTGTGATATTACGGATGGCTGCTTCCGCGGCTTCATCCTTTCCTTCATTTCCTTAATTTGTGGTCAAACAAAAAATAATAAACAATGCAGTGCAAAGTGGTTGAGGAGATTCAGGCCTTAGGGGTCTACTTGCTTCTTCGAGGCCACCAGCTGGCATAAGCTGTTTAGCCTTATTGCATGTAGTTTAGCTACCATATTTACTTCAAATAAATAGTAGCACTACCAGTAAAGCAAAAGTTTAGCTACAACGAATCCATACCTCTTTATTTATTGCTTCGATATGTTCCCGAAAGTTCTTAGTAATAGGCCGGCCGGGTTGTTGTTTCATGATTCTGTTGGTGGGTATGAATGTGTAATTCACCATCTGCCGCCTTAACCTAGTGACCTTTCACCAAAGCAGCCAAAGCTTAGCCAACTTGTTCTGTACGTTCTTTTGGGTATGAAATCAATCTAGTATCATGTAGCTGACAAGTGACAACTTTTATCTTTCAAGATGTTGCATGGGAATCAGATTTGTCGAGTATTTCTATACTCTGTATCAATGCTACTGTTTTTAGACGTACTATCATTGTCTTCTATGAACTTTCAATGGTGAGTGATAGATAAGAAGCCTTTAAATATTTTTTTTATATATAATTAGGAGAATAAAGATTCAAAAATTACTCTTTAAATAAAAAAATTATACATCAATCAATAAATTAAATATTTAATTATTAAAAAAATTTTAAATTTGATTATCGATAACATTATATGTTTGAAACCAATAAAGAAGCCTCTAACCCTATAAGAAGGTAAGCAGACAAATATTAATACTCTGCATTTGTGTGTGTATATATATATATAATATAACAATTAATAATTGAGGAAGAAGATGAAGTCTCTAATTAAAGATAATTTCACTGCCAAATTTTCACCATTGGAAGTCATCTTATCCAAAAAACCAGAGATTCAAATATAAATCATATACAGATAATATCAATGCAAGTGCAAAAGACGAAATATTAAACTCTTAACTAATTCATCCAAGTACCCAAGTTGTTAATGCAATAGTATTGCATTGATGTCATAAGACTTAATCGGTATGGATGGAAAATGTTGAAAATGAAAGAGAGATAATTAAGGCAGAGGATGCAATTATATTGCTAGTATTGTTTGTAATGAAAAAAAAAAGTATAATTCCATAATTTGCCCCAAAAAAAGGGGGCAAAATTCTAAAACTGATCTATGATAAATGATTTAGACCTTATCTTCTATTATAATCTAAAGGGTTATATACATATGTAAATCCTCAACCTCCTAATTGTACCCTGTTTCTTGTCCAATCCATCAACCAACGCAAATCTTCTGCTCGGGGATTATTCCCGGTTTCGTGTCCCATCCATCAACACTTATCATGTGCCTTAATTAATGAAATTAAAAAACAAAAAGGGCCTTTCAATGGGTACCACTGCATCTTGACACCATTAAATTCCGTTAAAATTAAAAGAAAGCATAACAATACGCGTTAGAGAGAGTGCTTCCAACTACTTTTTTTAAAAAAAAAAAAACAATACAAAGAGATATATATATATATATATATTAATAAAACTCTTTTTCCTTTTTAAGGTAAAAGTTACAAATAACCTCTGAAAAATCAAATAATAAATAATAATAAAAATTGTTTAGAGATGAAACAAATATCATAAAACAATATAAAATTATTTTTATAAAACTATGTTATCAAATCAAAAGATTTTTTTAATTTTTATTAATTAAGATACATTGTAAATGTTGACACTGAAATAAGAAACGAGATAAGATTCTAGAGAAGAGGATTTTCATTCTTTTTCAAACACACAGTTTTTGCCCCGGCATTGTTCAAGTTTCCTCTCTCATCCACCGACCTTTGTCATCTGTCTTACCTAGTTAACTTTATTAAAAAAGAAAAAAAAAACCTTCTCTACTTTTATGTCATTAAATTCTTTGAAAATTAAAAGAAAACATAACAACACAAATTAAAAAGAGTGTTTCTACCATAAAGAAAACATACAGACACATGACAACTGTTGGTGGAGGAAGAAGAAAACGAGGTACGATTCTCGAGCAGAAAATTTTCATTTGACTATATAAACATGTTTATGTCGTTTTATTTTGTAATCTTTTAATTAAATGTATAATAGAAAGATATTTTGATCCTAATCACCCTAAAATCTTAATGCCAACAAAGGATTCTAAAGCATCAACTAGCTAATAGATGTGCTTGATAAAAGTCTTAAAAGATATAGTCTCTACGTTAGCAACACTTACCAGTTAAAATCGACCCTTTATGGTTGAGAACTAACTCTCCAAGGTCAACAAGGAATAATGTTGAAAATGAAGCATATTATCCACACGTAGATTTCTCCCCATTTATGTCTATTAATTCTCTCTAGAGCTTACCTTCCACACAAAATTTTTGTTAATTATAAAGGTCAATTTTGTTCAAGAAAATTATATTATGTTAAATAAGTTTATCATAACTATTAGTAATAAGTAATCATGTATAATATTTATATAGAATTTAAAACTTGGGTATCCATCATCATCAATTAGTTGTATATAGAATGTCTCCCTCACTCCTGGCTTGGCCCTGCCAGTTGACAAAGTAAAACCATTAAAAGTGTAGTTAGGGAGACTCCACGCAGGTTTAAAGAAGTTGGGTGAGACTGAGGGCCTTGCTCAAACATGACCTGGGTTAGTTTAGCCTACATATAGAGTATAAAAAACAAAGCACTGTTGCATAGTCTTTTCAACACATCTAAAAATGTCACAGTCATTATAAAATTTCTGTTTCTTTCCTGCTTGATAGGTTGTCGCTCAGGAAAAGTCATCAATTAGATAACAGTAGCTTTCAAATTTAATTTCCATATGCTAGATTATAGAGTTAATTCATCACAATAGACACAATGAGTGGGAACCTCTTAACTTTAATTTTATTTAAAAGGAAACTCTAAAAGCTAGACACATGATGTGGTTTAGGTGTGTTTAAACTGTATAAAAAAGGTTCCAGTTGGCACAAGAAATTATGTGTAAGTGACCAGCCAAACCATGATCCATAGAAATGAAACATGGTCATTCACCATCGGACAACCACTTCATGTCTAGGTGTTCCCTTATTTGCACTTCACCGTTTACGTCTTTCCACAGCTGAATGAGCTTTCTTGATCCGTCTAAAATAAGGGAAATTGGATCACAACGCTTTTGTCGCGCATAATGGTTAATTCATGTTACGTGATATGAAATGTACTTCAAATTAAATGTAAAATATCAGTAAAAATTATGAGTAAAGGTACACAATCACAACAAGTAATTAATACAGTGATAAATTAAGTTTGCTGATCCCTTGAGGAGTTAGTTTATTAATTGTTACTAATTATCAAAATTAAAATAAATTAATTTTATCTAAATACTAAATTTTGAGAAATAATTAAAAAGTAATCTAATTAATTAATTATAATCTAAGAAGTACAAATAACAAATTGAGGTGGAAGTAGCTGCTTAATAGTCGAAGATTATGATTTTTTTTAATATTTTACTTGAAATTGTGTTTGCTAATTAATTTCTTAATCTTAATGAAAATTGATACTAGTTTAAAATTCTAAAACATGTGTGATTCTCCGTCGAAATATTACAGAATTGCTTAACTTAATTGAATCGTTATATGTATATAGGAAACAACTAAATTAAGTTCTTTTAAGTTAAAGTTCTAAAAATTGACTATATGTGATAATTAGTCATATGTCTACCCCAATTGCACCTCAAAACACTTAGATTTATTTTTAATGTAGTGAGCACACATTACGTATTTAGACTAACTCTCTTAAGTATCATCTAAATACCTAAACACATTTAAATAGTGATTAAGCAAATAAATAGGCAATAAATTCATATTTGAGTAAAGATTAATGTTTTCATAGAAGATAAATAATAAACCAATACAATATCCAAACTATATATTAAAATCTATCATAACCATAAATTAAGAATTCTAACTCAACATATTCAAAATACAAATACAAATATCGACAAAACGAAGTATTTCTACAAAAAGAGTTAGAGAGAGAAAATCAAATCTAAAATGAGAAATTATTTAGAGAAGCTATTTGATCTGTCAATCTCTTGATTTCCTTTTCTTTCCCCTTTTGGTTCCAGCCTCCTTTTTCCCATATTAGTGTTTGACTCCTCTCTTTTTCTAAGCTAAAAAACATGAATTTTTGTCCTTACTTTTAGTCATAGCATAAAAACTCGTACAGGAATATTCATTAAATGATGTGTTCTTACTACAGCAAGAAATTCTCTAATTTAGGGGCTGATTTCTTCATTTTTTTCGCCACAGCGAGAAGCTCTCTGATTTGGGCTATGCAGTCTGTTGCAGTCAATTGACTTTCTTTGTATTTTTTACCACGATCTTTTTCAAATTGGGAGAAGCCCTGAACACCAAAGTTGTAACCTTTCTTCTTAGCTTTCTAATGGTCCAAAAACCATACTGATTGGACTTCTGTACTTCAAGTTATGTCTGAAATATTGCAACATGTTTGGTAAAATTTACACCTAACCAACTTGTACAATTACTTGCCACTTGACATCTTCTCTTTTGAAGACCTTAAAAGCATAGGAACTAAATCAGACATAACTAAAAATAGGCATTTTTACCCTACAAAAACCAACTTGTACAATTACTTGCCACTTGACATCTTCTCTTTTGAAGACCTTAAAAGCATAGGAACTAAATCAGATATAACTAAAAATAGGCATTTTTACCCTACAAATGAACTAAAATAACTTAAAAGTGAACTAGCTCAATGTTAACCAATTAAAGAAAAATGAAGAAAACTACTTAAAATTTTATCTAAATTTAAAAATTTGATCATTTTATCACTCAAAATATGTGAAAATAACTCTATATAATAAAATTATTAATTCACAATCATGAGTGGTTGCCATAAGGCATTAGTAAGATTGACCTCTCACAGATATTTACAATTAATATAAACTGGCAAGTAAAAGAGAAGCTAAAGAAGAATAAATAGCTCACTAGAAAACCCAGGGCAGGAGCCCCAGTTGAAGGAGAGTTTCCGTATTGAGTATTCATCCAGTTTCCGTACCTAGTCAAGTGTAATTGCCATCATGGAAATGAAGAAGCTAATTAAAACCATCTGGTTGCTGATAATTCAACAAAAAAAGCCATCTGGTTGCTGAACATACAATCTGAATAGGAGAAGGAAAAATGTGAAACAACAAATAGCTTCAACAGAACGAAATAACTCAAGTAATGATTTGGAGAAAAATAGTTAAAACAAACAATGATAAGAAACGTATGCAGCAATCAGCAGTTTTTCCAGGAGATATCCTTCATGCATAAAGTTTTGGCTGTTATACTGTTCATTCTAAAAGAATAACAGATGCCTGATGATGCCAATTTGGTGACTTACAATGAAGAAGCTACATTCATGTAAAGTGAGCTTCAATCAGAGAACATATTTTCATGCAAAAACAGATAAAGGTAACGATTGAACTTGAGCTACAGCTTAAAGCAAAGGAAAAAAAATCATTCTTATTTTCACAATCCAAATATGAAAGTCAATGCCAAAAGCAGTAACACATCTTAATAAGCATGGGTTATAATTTTCAAATGCTACATTGAAAGCCCAAAATAATGGAGAAACTGTTTCTCCAAATTTCAAAACGGGCAACGGTTCTGAATATTAAATATCAGAAGCAAGCAAATAGTATATGATATTGATTGCTTCCATTTACAGATATAATCAAGGCCCCAACTCTAGTCCATGTATCTCAATGTGAAAAGCAAACAGACAGCAACTCGTAGCAAGTATCCAATCATTTTTCAGATAGAAAAAGTTCAAAAATCATGAGCTCTGATGATTGTTTAAAGGGCCTACTTGAACTGTGAATATCTTCACGTTACATCAAATGTATGTTGACGTTTTTTATACACGCAGTTTATATTAACAAGCAAAATAATAGCTAAAAAAGCAGAGAGTACAACGCATAAAAGCAGTTACCACAAAATGCTACGCTTAGACTCTTTAAGTAAATTCACATCTATTGACCTTTCAAACTTTACTTGAGTACTGACACGAACTAAACGTACAACAGAAAATAACCTCAAGTTTTATCAGTGTCTTTGTATGCACTGCAAACATGAGCAATCTCCAACTCATTATTGCTTGTTAGTGAAACAGCCTCTAAACCACCCATGGTCTCCTCTTCCTCAAATTCTGCACATATGTTGTCATTCTCAGTATCAACCTCAATTAAATCCTTCTCATCCATGTCTGATAAGTCGCTGAAAGTAGGAATCTCTTTCTTCTTTCCTCTATAACCAACAAGGCTCAGGACCTTTTCCTTCCAAAGCACCAATGGACATTTCTCAATCGGCTCTGAACCTTCATAAGCTTCAGTCAAGAAGACACTAAATCTCTTCCCCCTCTCAGAAACATAAAAGATGCCAAAATGCTTCAAAAGAAGTCTCATCAACTTCTGTGGCATCACAAGCTCCCGTCGGAAATGAGTGAGATGATCAGTCACCAATCTCTTCTCAATAGTAAAGCTGAGTAACTCGTGCATAACAGCAACTGCCCTCTTATCAAATTCCAATGACCCTGCCTTCAGCTCCCTAGCATCTGCATACGGAGACAAATAAGACCTTTTCTGAAAATGCGCAATCTTCCCTCCGTGTCTATACACCTTCTTGTAATTAGGAGGGAACTTCAAAGGAAAAGGCAAAGAAAGTAAACCTGGTTCACGACCAATCCCATCATTTAAACCCAATGCTTTCTTCTCCAACTCTGTAATAGCCCAAGCAGGATTCCAATTTACAAGCTCCAAAAACTCAACTCCATCCTTAGATTTTACCACCCTAAAATGTTGAGGATACTGATTCACCCACTTGGTTCTAAACTCAATTGGCAAACCAAAATCTCTCCTAAAATGAGCAATCTTATCCAACTGAATCCTTTTATCAACCGACATCATTAAAATCTTAGTAACAAACTCAACAGCTTTGGTTGATTGTTCCTCAATCAGCCTTTCCTCTTCTTCCAATAAATCCTCAGCTTCTTTAGTCATTCCACACCACAAGGTTCCCCTTTGATCCTTGTATAATTCGAACAACTTGGGACATTTCCTAATGAAATCACTAATTTTGTGGGGTTTTGGCAAATTAATTTGCTTCCTGTATTGGTCCAACGACCTAACGGGGATTATCATCTCGGGTTCTTTCTTTAGAACTTCCATCAAAAACAAAACCTTGGAAGATATTTTCCATTTCTCCTTCACGATTTCGAGATGGTGAATTCTTTTGTTCTTGCTTCGGTCTTGGACTCGTCTACTGGATGTCATTGGTCTGTTTTGAAACCACCCAAATGATGATTCTTGGTACAAGCTCCTTCTCACAGGCAAAAGGCCAAACATTTGGTCGTGATTTGAGCGTAGCCGTTGGGTTTTGCCAGATTTATTTAACAAAAGTTGCCTTATAGCATATTGGATAGCCATTGCTTCAGCTTTACTGCTTTTTCCAAGCTTACTGTAATTGCTGATTAAATTCCCAAGTGTTCGTAGAAAGGCAGGACGGGAAAACCAGAATCCGCAGGGGAATTTGGTGACGAATAGAAAAAAGGTCTGAATTTTACTTTTGCAAAATAAATTGCCTCGGAAAATAAAAAATTGTTAGAAGAGGCCCATTGAACTTCGGCCCATAAAATCAGGTTTTCCGTAGTCCTTTATTATTTCTTAATATATATGCTTAGGAAAAAATTACCCTCAAATAATGTTAGAAATAATTTTCCGTAATAAAATTATTAAACCCATTTTTCTTTTATACTCAACCAAAATTAATAGAAACAATATTTAGTGTAGCCTAAGTAACTAAGAACCAAAATATATTGCCACGATTAAATAGGTGGGAGGAAGATAAAGCTTTACATTGAGTTAGGGAACTTGGTTTGCTAAAAATCTAATGCAAGAATATAATTAATGCTAAGGTTACTAAAATTACTATATATTAGACCAGTAACCAAAGACGAGTAAGGTCGGTGAGTTTAGTAAGACGGGTCAGGTATGTTAAATGATTTGAATCTGAAAGTTAAGAACGACGGGCTGGGTATTGTCATTTTGGCAACTATAATTTTTAGTTGAGTGATTGTTTTGGCAACCATAATTTTTAGTTTACTATATATACGATATTTCTTTTGAGTGATTGTTTTTCAACATAATTTTTAGATATGTTTCTATCAACTGTGTATTTTTTTTAAGTGATATTATTAGAGCTTCAATCTCATGCACTATCAAATGCTAATTTCATTATTTTTAAATCTTAAACCTTAAACTTTAAAAAATTAAAAATAATAAAAATACGAGTAAATAATATATATAAATTGGTCAAAAGATCTATTCAATCATTGCATTCTTTAATTTTATTTAATTTAGCTTTTATACTCAAAATCGAAGTAATTTAATCTTTTTCCTAACAGCATTCAGTTTTGTCGTTAAAGAATGACATCAACGAAAACATGTCACATTTTAATAACATGGTTTGCACTGAGTGATAACGTGGCAATGCCACGTGATACTATACGATGACATGATGTCAGTGTCACGTGACAGATAAAAAAAAATTTTTTTAAAAAAATTTTCTCTACGTCAAAAGAATTAAATTGAACAAAAATATATAGTACAATGACTAAATTGAATAAAATTGAGATGTTAAGGAACTAAATTAAAAAATTTATTTAAAAAATACAAATATTTATATAGATTATTGATATGCTTATTAATAAGTCAAATATTTAAGTATAAAAGATTTATGGTGTTAAAAAATAATATATTAATATTTTCTTACTTAATTATTTGATTCTAGAATATGTAAATTAATTTATTTTTACAAAAATAAGTTTAAATTCTCCTTCTATAAAAAAATTTTTGAAAAATTTCATACTTAAAGTTAAATTTAGATAAATAACTTATATTATATTAAAATAAAATAATATAAAATAACTAAATAAATTCTTTTTCTTCTATTTATAATAGTATAAAAATTTAAAATTTATTTAACTTAGTTTTTACCTTGAGCTAAAATCAAATTAGTAAATTACGTTGATTTAGTTTTATTTTAAAATTAAATAACAAAGATATGGAGTTAGCGATGATTATAAAAATAATTTTTTATTTTAACTTGTTTAATTTGGACATGGCAAACCTCTTATTACAACTATAGAATCTGAGCTTTACCTTTTCAATTATTTATTTATTTTTATGTTTTTATTTTGTTTAATATTTCAAGTTATATTTTTTTAAGTTGAAATTTTTTAAATTAAATATTATATTTATGGTTGATAAAGTTAAATATAACTATAAATATTTGTATCATTTTATTTTATTAATAAACTTTTTGTAGATCCAAATTGATAATTTAAATTTAAGTTTAACAGAATTTGATTGTGGTATTTGAATTTAAATAAAATTATTTTATAAGAAATTTTGAGTAAATTTAAATAAAAGGTAAATTGGGTAAGAGTTGAATAATTTCATAAGATTTTATATTTATAAATTGTGAAAGTTGTAATTAAATCAACATATTTTGCTAATTTAAATAAAAGATAAATTGAGTAAGAGTTAAATAGTTTCAAAATAATGTGTAGTTGTAAATTGTGAAAATTGTAATTAAACCAATATATTCAGTCATTTTATATTATTTTATTTTAACATAATATAAGCTATTCATCTAAATTTGACTTTATGTATAATATTTATTCAAATTTTTTTTATAGAAGGAGAATTTAAACTTAATTTTTGTAAAAAAGATAAATTAATATACATATTTTATAATCAGATAATTAAGTGAGAAAATATTTATATATATTATTTAATATTATAAATATTTTATATTTAAATATTTGACTTATTAATAAACATATCAATAATCTATTTAAAAATTTATATTTTTTTAAATATTTTTTAAATTTAATTTTTTAACATAATCATTTTGTTTAATTTAATCATTATATTATATATTTTTATTTTATTTAATTTCTATGACCTGATAAATTTTTTTAAATTTTTTTTTTATTATCTGTTACATAGTCCTAACATATTAGCATGTTACTGTCATGTTATCGTATGGTGTCAAGTGACATTATCACGTCACCACTTGATTCCACATGACATATCACATTATCATCTTAACATCACATCATCAAAATGTGATAAGTCTTTATTGACGTAATTTTTTATCAACAAAATTGAATGTCGTTAAAAAAAAAACTAAATTGATATAATTTTTAAAATTAAAAATTAAATTATTTTTATTTTAAATAAAAAAGTTAAATAAAATTAAAAAATATAAAAACTAAACAAATCTTTTTAACTTATATAAATTCTGATATCTCTTATTTATGAAGATTTGGACGGTAGTCGTTTTGACTCTTAGCAGTTACGTTTCAGGAATAAGGCATGCAACTCAGCTGAAATCTGAGCTGTGAGGTGGTTGGCTTGACCCTAAACCAATGATGACTGGCTTTTTGACATGTTTTACCCGAGGAAACAGGTGCTGTTAGAAACCATTCCCCCGAGCTTACCAGTCTCACTTGACAAACGCGTAAACAACATTCTTTCACTCACTAGTCTCCCTCATCTACCTTCGGATTCGGAGAAATGGCTGTTGCTCTTCTAGGTCAGATGCATAGATTTCCTTCCGATGAAACCAATGGAAAAATCACAGCATTCCCATTCACATTTGTCAATAGACTCAAACTCCTGTCACCCAATAGCTATTCATCAACTAGAGTTCTAGAAATCAGAAGATGCTCACATATCTTTCTTTTCTTTTTCTGGTCAAGATTGCTCCACAAGCTTTGCTCTTGATACTGTAATTTGCATGTACAAAAGTACTCGACAGGCCTGTATTAATAATCATCTAAAATAATTTTTTTTATTAGGCCAGTAATCCTAATCCTGTTTGTCTGCTAAACTTTTTAACCTGGTGGACTATTAGATTTGTTAATATCTAGATGAACCCTAAGTTGGGGACCAAACCATGAGCCGAAAGGGTATATAAACCAACAAGAACAAAAATAAACAAACAACTTGGTTGTAATAAATTAAAGGGTACAAGCATCGTTTGACTTCTCAGGTTTTGCCGCTGATTTTGCCAGAACCAAATTAAGGGCAGTACTGTGGGTAAACGGGTTGACAAGTCTAGCGTCTCAGATGACGTTAACGGGGCTTTTGTCTGCATCTTATGGGCCCATACGTGTCTCCTAAAATGGCTTTTAGGGGCCGCTGGTCATTGGCAGAGAACCTTAAAGCCAGCTTCTCACGCGCTTTGTTCTTTTAACGAATCTCTGTTCGCTACTTATTGTTGCCTAAATATTGTTTTCTATGATCTTTTCCCATTTGAGCCGATCATAATTTCTTTAAAGATTTTTAGATAATATACCAAAAATGGAAAGATAATGTTAAATTACTTAAGTATCTTTTCTAGTCAAAATTTATGTTAATTAATTTGCATATAGTTTCACCGTTTCATTGTATCAAAGCATAATAGAACCTAACTGGCTATGAATAATTGGTTGGCCCTATGTATTACTGAATAACATGACAAATCAAAGACCATACACACGCATGTAGATGCATGCAGACGTGTGTGTGCAAAACCTTTGGTTTGACTGAAGAAAAAGAGATTAGACTTTGAGGGAATTTTCACAGAATGAGCATACTAGCTGACCAACAAGGAAAAACATTAGACTATTATTAATTCCAACAAGGTTTCGTAGAAGTCCATGTATACTCCACACCCATTGGGCTGTCTTTGGATTCAATTTGTAGTCACAGCAAAGCAGAATGTGTTTTGCTACGCGCCTTAACATAGACTGTAAACAGGAAGCCAAACTCCCCTCACGTAAAGGGGAAGCCTCCTGCGGACCGACCGATCAGTTCTGCCCTTTTACTCTATGTTACACTTAATTATTCAATATTTATATAAGAAACGACAACAATTAAATTAATTAAATTTTTTTATAAAAAACCCGAAATATTGCACGTGCTTTTCGCCTACTGTCCCTACCGCGTTTCCACCCGGTTCGGCCCCCCCCCCCACTAACTGCTTTTACTCCTCTTCAACACGCTTAGATCCTTCACACAAAAACACTTGTCAAAACTCCTCTGCAGTCTTCGTTCCCTCCTATATATATACTCGCAAAGAGCCGCCATTTCCATTATCCGAAGCTCAGCCTGAAGATTGAAAAATAATTTTAGTCACAGTCTCAGGGGCCTTTTTTTTTTTTCGAAGTGGGGAAATGGTGAAACCGAACTGCACAGCATCTTCAACATCACCTACGGAACATGTCTCGGACGTTACAAGTAGTAGTTCCAAGTACAAGGGTGTAAGAAAGAGGAAATGGGGCAAATGGGTGTCCGAAATTCGGCTTCCCAACAGCCGTGAGCGTATTTGGTTAGGGTCTTACGACTCGGCGGAGAAAGCAGCCAGGGCGTTCGATGCGGCTCTTTATTGTTTACGTGGCCGCGATGCTAAGTTCAATTTCCCACGAAAATCCACCAGAAATTGTCGGAGGAAGGTCACTTAGCCCGCCAGAAATTCAAGCGGTAGCGGCTAGG